TGCCTGTTGAAATCTTTCATTGTTTTGTGTAATTTGTGGAACTTTTGTTACACACACACACACACACATCCGTTTTTATTCCCAGTGATACATATGAACAGTATTGTATTCTGGATTTAAAATTCTAACTTCTCTCTAAAATCCGATTTGTCATTGTGTGTAACCAGGTGACCTACAGATTTGTTGAAATAAGTATTTCCATTTCTTTCAGCCACTTGGGCATTTATCAAGCAATCAGAGACGTTCATGGCTCCAGATAGGTTAAGGAAATGTATTTGGTTAGCAGTCCTTCACCTAAAATCATAAAGTGAATGATCTTTTTTAAAAATTTAGAATTAGAATATATTAGCCCAGGATAAAGATTTTGGACTCCGATGTTGAAAAATAGAGAAAAGGATCCATAGAAGGAAGTATTTTTAACATAAGAGATTTAAATCTGAGGACATACATCAAGTCAGTTCTTGTGTGTCTGTAACATGCTGTGCATGAGGAAAGTAATTAAGAGCTAGTCTCTGCCCTGAAGCAGGTGTTCTTTCCTTCTCGTTGTACCATGTGCTCCTCTGCCATTCCCATGGCCCTGGGAGCCCCTCTGAGAACAATGCTTTTAAATACATAGACCAAAACACATAATATAAGTATATATTACATACTAATTACTAAGGAAACCCAGTTATAGTGAAACATAGTTATCAAAATCATACAGATACAGTATAATAATACATTGCTTGTTTATTAATATATTGAATAACAAATTGTAACAGCAGACCTGATAACTACCAAAATTTTGAAGTAGTGAGCGTAAATAGTATTTTGATATTTCTGCAACAACTGTAATGATGTGAAAATATTTGAGATTTTTATTAACAGTGTACTAATATGCTGCCTAATATAATAACTAACACTGTACCTTATTAATTACCTACATTCAAGATTGAAGGAAGTACGGAATTTTAGCCCATGGTTCATAAAAATAAAGATGTGCTTTTCCTCTCATTTATGTTCAGGGACCCCTGCTTCTATTCCTGATTGACTCCTTGGAGATCTCAGGGATCTAGAGTTTAGGAAAGGAAATTAACACTGAAATAAGTGCCACACAATATACATCACGTTTTATGAGAGCACATGAGCTTCCCAGGTGGAGCACCTCCTGTGAGCCTTGCTGTGCATAACACAGGGAGAGACAGGAACAGGGCATTCTAGAAAGAGGGGGACTTTTCCTCACCCCCAAATAAGAGAATAGCATGCGTGAGGCATAGAGTCGGAAGTAAGGGTAGGAAAATAGTTTGGGATCCAACCATGTCCTTTGAATACTACTCTTAAGAGTTGTATGTTCGTTCAGCAGTTATTCTCAGATGTCTGAAAAGAGAGCAAGAATATCAAAACTGTGCTTTCTTATGTTTTCTTCTCGCAGCAGTGTGTGAGAGCCACGTCTGTTTGGAGAGTAAGACATGTAAACCTCAGGTGAAGAAGAAGTAAATAATTACTTAGGCAAAGCTAGTTACCACTGGCCTTTGGATGAAAGAAAACATGGCAGAGCATTTGGGCAGTTCCGGGGAAGAGATTTCGTAGACTAGTAAGTGAGGTTAATAGATTCAGGAGCAGCCAGATGAAGAAGGCGCTTGTATACTTTGCTAAGGAATTTAGACTTCCTTGCCAGTGATTTCCAGAGTGCTTTTGTCCGAGTTCTGGTTGTGCAGAATGTTAATAGATGTTACGTGTGAAGGGCTTTTGTGGCCAGATTAGTTGGGAAATGTAGAGTTAATGCTTACATTCCCATCTGAGATGTTATGGTTTTAGTTTGGTATGATGGTATTTTGTTATGCCAAATACTATTTGAAAAATGAGTGAGAAAATTGGTGATCTTTTTGCGTACGTATTTTTAATGGCTTTAAAAAAAAAAATCTTAGAGAACCTTAAGATTGAATTGCTGTGATCCCACTGCCTAGTTTCTTTTAACGGGTTTTCTTACCTTTGCCCCTAAAAACAATAGTCTTGCCCATTCCCCCTGTCAAAATCTAAGCAAAATTAAGTGAATTCCATGAACATGGTATTTCTGCTTTGGGTAGATTAGTATAGAGAGACTGTTCTTGTGAGAATATAATATTAATATCCTCTTTTTTTTTTTCAACTTTAGACCAAAGTCTGAAACTTACTGCCTTTTACCAACTCTGGTTAAATTCCTACCTCTATTTCCTGTCCTCATCCAGCAATATCTCCTAAGACAGAAATTTGGAGGTTGTCTTTGAACATTTCCTATCTCGCTCTGTTCTATCAATTTTATGTCCCGAGAATAATTTGATCTGGCCTCTTTCAGTCCCGACTGTGTTCATTTAGGACCTCATTTCTTGTCTTCACTCTGGTTGTCGCATTGGCTTGTTAAGGGCGTCCTTATCCTGTGTCCCTTCATTCTTATTCGTCTTCTACATTGTTGTGTGAGTTCTCTTCCTAAAACCAAATATCATCTATGTACTCCACACCTAAAAAATCGTAATGGCGCTTCACTCACAGGATAAAACTTACCCTAAAATAAAGACGTCGTGCTTGACACTTGCCACTTCCATGCTTGCTCTCTACAGTTCATCCTGCACGGCCCAAGAGTATCAAGTTGTTTAGAGTCAGGCTCCCCAGGTTCAAATCCCTACTTGCAAACAGAGGCAAGTTCTACCCTCTCTAAATGGAGGGGAGGAGAATACTTACCTTTCAGAGTTATGAGGATTAAATGAGATACTGTTTGTGAACAGTGCTAATATTGATTACCACCAAAGTGGTAGCTCTGCTGGTGGGAATGTAAAATAATAGTACAGACATTTGGAGAACAGTTGGGCAGTTCCTCAGAATATTAATCATGGAGTTGTGTATAATACTGGAATTCCACTCCTAGATAAGCTGCCCAAGAGAAGTAAAAACATAGGTCTGTACAAAAACTCATACATAGTGGTAGCAGCATTATTCATAATAGTCAAAAAGTAGAAACAATTCCAATGTTCATCAACTGATGAGTGAATAAACGAAGTATGGTACATCCATAAACTGGAATATCATTCAACAATTTAAAAAAATAAGACACTGATACATTCTACAACCATGCCAAGTTAAAGAAGCCAATTACAGAAGACCACATGTTGTATGATCCATTTACATCAAATGCTCAGAATAGGCAAATCCATAGAGAAAGTGCAGTTGCCAAAGGAAGAGGAATGGTGAACGACTACTAATGAATATTAGTTTCTTTTGGGGGTGATGAATTTTAGGTATATGTTATCTCAATAAAGCTGTTTTAAAAAATAAGTAAGAGGTAGCACTTCCTACTCCTACCTGTTTTTCGTTTCCCTGAAAGCCCCCAAGGACATTGTCTGTGTCATCTTTATGTTTCCGTCTAGCACCAGGGTCTTGTGTAAAGTAGATGCTTAAAAATGCTGCAGCATGACTGGTCTTTCTGAAGCGAGCTTCTCAGAGCTTCATTTGGGGTAAAATTGTGCACTTCCTCAGATTATATTATCACAGTATATCTTTGTAGCTATATAAATTCTCATGCCCACGAAACAGTACTTTAAGTATGGAATTTAACTAAGCTGTCTGGTTTTCCTCCTAGGACACGCACCTGTTAAAACTGCTTAAAACATTAGAAGGACATGCTTATGGCGTTTCTTACATTGCATGGAGTCCAGATGACAACTACCTTGTTGCTTGTGGCCCAGATGACTGCTCTGAGCTGTGGCTTTGGAATGTACAAGTGAGCAAGTTCCATCCGTGGTGTAGCCTTTAAGTAAAGCGTCGTCATCCTGCACATTTTCATTATATGGAACAGAGCCATTCAACCAAAATTACCGTAATGTGCCTCTTCCAAAAGGAAATTCTTCAAATGGAACCCAAGGGTCCAGAAATTACACAAATTTAAATATTATGCTAAGTACAATTGAGTTTTTGGAAGAATGGTCAATAAGTATTTTCAGGAATGCTGTACTGTAGAAGTCTTGCTATTTACTATGGTACTTTGTATCTCCAAAAAGATTTTATATTTCGTAGTTTTCATAATTGTACACAAAACTTATCTTTCAAGTGTGAAGACATCGGCATTGAATCAGATTTTCTATTCTAATGGCAATCACACCATCTCCCTCCCTATATTTAATTCTTTATTTAGTTTAGTAAACTTAAATGATGTTTTCAGTACTTACTATTAAGGGCTTTATTACTGTTTCTAAATGACACATGAACTTTATCCAGGGCCCATTTTAGATAAACTCAGCATTAAGTTCACTCCATTACCTACAGTTTATGCTTTGGAAAACTTATAGTTAGGATTTTTTTAAAAAAATATATTTTATTGAGTTTTTACAGAGAGGAAAGGAGAGAGACAGAGAGCTAGAAACATCAATGAGAGAGAAACATCGACCAGCCACCTCCCGCACACTCCCCACTGGGGATGTGCCCGCAACCAAGGTACATGCCCTTGACCGGAATCGAACCTGGGACCCTTCAGTCCGCAGGCCGACGCTCTATCCACTGAGCCAAACCGGTTTCGGCATAGTTAGGATTTTTAAATTTTTTTTATTAAAAACTTCCTTTGCTACGTTGATTGATTAGGTGATTTTTTATTTGTTTGTTTGTTTTTTGTTTTTTTAACTCCTAGGCTATGATTTGAGTATAAAAGTATAAATTTCTAGGAATGCATTTTGAGTCTGGGGAACTTTATAAATAAGTTGATTTTTACCAAGACAGTGAAGATTAAGCTGCATGGAAATGACTCAAATAAAGATAGAGGACAAACTGATACTAAGATGTACCTAAAGATGATATGCCATAATTTTAATCCTGCTATTATATCAGTAAAATTTTCTTACTGCTCAGTCATTTACTGAAGTTTCAGCACCAGCCTTTTATTAAAGAAATTTTCAAACATTAAGACAAGTTGAAAGAAGAGCCCAATGATTACGCATATGCCCACCATTCTAGATTCAGTGGTTGTGAACATTTGTGTGTGTGATACATACATACAAATATGCATACATACACATTACACATATATTCATATTCACAACATGTCAAGGTAAATTAGATATATTTTACACCTAAATACTTAGCACGCATCTCAAAAAAAAAATAAAATTAACATCCTCCTATATAATCAAGGGCCATTATCTTATCAAAGAACATTAACTATAGTTCTCTGTTATCTAATACTCATTTCATAATTTAAAACCCCAAATCATTCCCAAAGTGTCTTTATGCCATTTTTATCAAACCAGTATTGTATTTGGGGTTGAGTTCAGGTGGGGGGCGGGGAGGGGAAGCAAAGCACAAAATAGAATATATGGCTTTCTCAATAAAATAGGTTTGAAGGGAATCTGACCTAAAGGATAACAATTTTTCCCATTAAAGCTTTTTTCCCTCTCTCCAAAGAAGGGGAATGTAGTCATAATCCTGTAATAGAGACTCTTAACTTTCAGTACCTGTTTAGTCTTCCTTTGAGTCAGTGTTTTAATTTCTGGATAGTTAAACTATTTTTAGCTTAACTGTTTTACTGTGCATGACTTTACATACTTGTTCTAAAAGGGTGGTCTTTTTTAGTCAGTTTTCAAATTGTTTCGTTACGTTTTTAGGTAGGTTCCAAATTAATAGCCTCATATACTCACTATCCTGAACATAATAGAAGAAAAGGCCAGTTCAGAACTTAGTGTATTAACATATTCCTGGGTAGAAAATGCCGAGGATTTAGCTCTTGCATGTGTATTTGTGCTTCTAAACTTCTATTTTAACCGTTTATATCAGCCAACCCAAAAATAAACAGGTGAGAGCAGTTAACAATATGGGGGAAGGATTTAAGATTGCGGAATATTTTTTTCAGTGTAAGGGAGACATCTGGTTTTCTATTTTTGTGCCCCCATTTCCTGATCATACACTTTGTTTTCACTCTTTTTTTTTTTACTTTTGATTACCCATTTCTCACAGGAAAGTTATGCCCATGTACTTTTAATTATACCAAGGGCAGCTATTCTCTCTCAGATCCTGTTTCTAATCCATGAACAAAATGGAATCAAGACTAGATTAAATGGTATGTGTCTACCTTCTAAGTTGAATAACTTAGAAAAAATAACAGGAGGATATCTGAAGGTTGTAACCACTAAAGAGCCTTGCTTATTAGTTGGGAATGCTTTAGAATGGCTATTGCTAAATAGTACAGAAATTCCTCTCTCTTTTCTGTTACTTTTAGTTGAAATAAAGTTACATATCAGAAAAATAATTTTCATTTCTCTCTTCCCATTTCCCTACTACATTTTGAGCATCTTGAATATGAAATTTAACACCCTTGGCTTAAAGGACATCGTTTTTCTACCTATTAGTAATGTTTCTGAGGAATATTTAAAATAAAATGTGGCCTGAGAAGTCGTGGAAACTCAGAAGGAGTAGGTGTATAGTGTTACACTTTTCCTCTTGGGAAAGATTACATGTTTTAATCTGTGAATGTAATTGATTTCAGATGAGAATTTTATTGGAGTTTATCTCATCATAGCTATTCTTGGGGTCACTGGTGCCAGGCATTGTTCAAGTCCTGGATTTTTCTTCAAGTCTTTAATTTCTCTTGTAAGTGCTATAAGCATTTTTCGTAAGGCCAATGTAAGAAAACTAACCAGATATCCCAGTTAGTACTCTTTTATTTTCTGTGCACTTTCCCTTTACAGGGGTATCTTGAAGGTCTTATTCACAGTTTTATTTCTTTGTAGACGGGAGAGCTAAGGACAAAAATGAGCCAATCACATGAGGACAGTTTAACAAGTGTGGCTTGGAATCCGGATGGTAAACGCTTTGTCACTGGAGGGCAGCGTGGGCAGTTCTATCAGTGTGTGAGTATTTAGTTTTCCCTTTCAAATGTCTGCTTGTTTGAAAGCAAATTTAGTTCTGTTTAAAGAAAGAATTCACTTGATTTTTATAAAATATTAGAAGCCCAGTGCACAGATTCGTGCACCAGTGGGGTCCCTCGGCGTGGCCTGCGGGGATTGGGCCGAAACCAGCTCTCCGACATCCCCTGAGGGGTCCCGGATTTTGAGAGGGCGATTCTCAGGTGAGGTACCCCAGAACTGGGCTCCCTCCTCTCTGGGTAGGCTCACTGCCGCTCTGCTGCAGTCTCCGGGCTACGGCAGCCAGCTGGGAGCCCTGCAGCAGAGCGGCACTCACGCCGAGGGAGTGCACTGACCACCAGGGGGCAGCTCCTGTGTTGAGTGTCTGCCCCCTGGTGTGGTCAGTGCACGTCGTAGCGACCGGTCATTCAGTCTCTTAGGCATTTATGTACATAGGTAATATATGGCCTGGCCAGTGTAGCTCAGTTGGCTGAGTGTCATCCCATGCACCAGGAGGTTGCCCGTTCAATTCTCAGTCAGGGCACATGCCTGGGTTACGGGCTCCATCCCCAGTGGGGGGCATGCAGGAGGCAGCCAGTAGATGATTCTCTCTCATTGATGTTTCTGTCTCTTTCCTCTCCCTAAATATACTATATGAAGGCCTTGTTTTAACTATTTTAAGTGTTTGTGCAAAGTGTAGCCCATGAGTTTAGTAAAACGTTTAAAATTTGTTTTACTAAGTTTGTGTTTAAACTTTTAGGATACGTTACTTGTTATAGTGGTAGTTCCCGAATCTGTAAAGTTAGCACTTTTAATATTCAAGAATCTTGATCTTTAGAGCACATTACAAATTTGGTGACATAATTTTTAAAAATGACATAACATATTCCTAAGTTTTATAACTGTAATTACAGTGTTGGTAATCTTTACATGTCTCAACTTCTGAATATGATAGGACAGACCCCGGTATAGTGAATTTTAAAGGAATGTTTGAATTGTTTTCTAATAGACATTTGCTTGGAGCTTAGGAATTCTTTCTTTCTTTGTGTTGACCTGTGTGCAGGGTTTTTGAAGGGAGGACAGATTGGCAGAGATGCTCGCCCCCTCCCGCTTTGGTTTCAGTGTAATGAAATTTGACTTGTGTTCAGATTTTCATGATTAAAAACATTTAATAGACAATCTTATCACAGAAAAATAAGGAATTGCTTTGTTTCTTTGTTTGCTTTCTGAGTGGTGCTTGTTTATTTTTAATGACCAAGGTCATTGTTATTTTCTCCTGCTCAGGATTTAGATGGCAATCTCCTTGACTCCTGGGAAGGTGTGAGAGTGCAATGCCTTTGGTGCTTGAGTGACGGGAAGACTGTTCTGGCATCAGATACACACCAGCGAATTCGAGGCTATAACTTCGAGGACCTTACAGATAGGAACATGTAACTATTTTTTGTATTCATTGAATAACAATTATGTGGTTTATATTAAAATGTGTAGTTGAGTCCTGGCCAATTTGGCTCAGTGGATAGGGCGTCGGCCTGCGGACTGAAGAGTCCTGGGTTCGATTGTGGTCAGGGGTGCATGCCTGGGTTGGGGGACTTGGTCCCCCGTGGGGGTGCGTGCAGGAGGCAGCCAATCCATGGTTCTCTCTCATTGATGTTTCTCTCTCTCCCTCTCCCTTCCTCTCTGAAATCAATAAAAATATATATTTTTTAAATGTGTAGTTGAACTCGCTCTTTAGAAGATTTTTTATGGATTTGGTGTTAGTTAATTCCGTGGTGATTTGGATTGATGGTCAGGTGATGCTGAGTAATCCTTAACTCAAATTATAGTTCTTGTAAATAATGACTAAAGACAAAGGTGTGATATTTAAACTAGAACATTTTACATTTTAATAATTTGAATGCCTTGATTCCTAGTATGTTGCTTTTGACAAATTGTTTTCTGGTTACAGAGTACAAGAAGATCATCCCATTATGTCTTTTACTATTTCAAAGAATGGCCGATTAGCTTTGTTAAATGTAGCAACTCAGGTAAGTTAGTTAATATGATTCCCAGAAAAATTTATCTTAGTTCTAATTTTAATTGTGAGTTTTATTATAAATATAAACAGAAATATTTATACTACTTATTAAATTACACTGCATGTGTTTGATCCTAAGTGCATAGAATCAACTCTAAATTTGTCAGAACACTGGCATTTTACATAAATAGAAAATGAAAATGTTCCATTAGGGAAAGGGATATTCACAAATGATTTTTTAAAACTCTTTTTTGAGTTGGTGTAAATAAATACCTATATTCTCTTTTGTCTTACAGGGAGTTCATTTATGGGACTTGCAAGACAGAGTTTTAGTGAGAAAGTATCAAGGTGTTACACAAGGGTTTTATACAATTCATTCATGTTTTGGAGGCCATAATGAAGACTTCATCGCTAGTGGCAGTGAAGGTAAATCATTTGTGTCACTGTCCTTTCACACGTATTGGTGGGTTTAAAGTTCTATAATTTTTTCAATATGTGAGGGTGGGCATGTCTCCAAGCAAGTTCAGATGTTAATTTTAAAGGTGTGGGAGTTACTTATCCAGTACACTGTTGATTTCTCCTTTTTTGGAATGACTTGAGTCTTATCAGAAATTAATAGTGTTGCTCTGACCAGTTTGGCTCAGTGGATAGAGCGTCGGCCTGCGGACTCAGGGGTCCCAGGTTCAATTCCAGTTGGGGGCATGTACCTGGGTTGCGGGCACATGCCTGGTGGGGGGTGTGCAGGAGGTGGCTGATGGATGTTTCTCTCTCGTCGATGTTTCGGACTCTCTGTCCCTCTCCCTTCCTCTCTGTGAAAAATCAATAAAATATATTTTTTTAAAAAGAAAGAAAAAAGAAATCAGTAGTGCCTGTTCTGACCATGTGGAGATGTTTGGTGCATGTATCAAGTCAAGATTTAGTTAAACCTTTCATATGTTGACTTGTTTTTTTCATGAGACTAATGTTTTTTATCAGAGGTTAGTATATAAAAAGTCAAGGTTAATTTGATGTTTTACCTGAACTTGCACAGAGTTGACTATAGGTAGATATATGGCATTTCTTTAATGGCCTAAGAGAGTAATTTAGTTTGATAATTCATATGGTCTCAGAAAGACTGAAAGTACAGAATTGTCTCTACCACCTTTTTGAATAAATTTATGCTCCAGTCTAACAGCATTAGTATTTCAGGCAAGCATGTGCCTAAAGTAGTCAGTCTCACTTAAATATATAAATTGTTTAAAACATGTAAGCACAGATAAGTAAGGCAGTATTAAAAATTAGTGTACTTTTTAAGGTGAACGAAAAAGAAACATAATATAGCAATTTTTCATTTAACACATTTTTCTTGGGGTCTTACTATACTGTTCTAAGTACTACGACAGCAAATTACTTACATCTCTTTTTAAAATACTGTGAATCTGCTTTTACAAGATACTCCAAGGAACTGGATCATGTTGTTAAACACTTTGGGAACGTACCATTTTTTACATAAGATCTTTAGTGTCCCGATCCTGCCAAAAAGCTCATCTCCATAAATAAGAGGATCACATGTGATCCGTGAGTTTTTCCTGTGTGTATAAGGTCTGTGTAAGGATTGGGACAAAAGCAAACATTTAGGAATTCAGACTTGAACATGAAGTATATGAATTTATTCTCCACCCCCCTCCTGCCCCCCAAGTCGGTGACAGACAGCATTTAGAGGAGAGAAGAGTGATTCGTGAGGTGACAGTTGAGAGTTTACTTCTCTCTAGTCAAAACTTTTTTACCTGTTAGTTCAATGTTATGTTCCCCTGATTCTCTGCTGGTTTCTATTTGGATGTGGTCTAAATACAACCTCCTACTTGCCTGTTAGCCTCTTTCCCCCTGTGCTCTCTTCAATCATGCCTCTGGTGGGTTTTCCCCTCTTAATTATTCCTCACAACCCCCAGTAGCTCTTAAAAATAATATGTTCTCTAGAAGTGCTTTAATATGTATGGATATCGTTATCCCTAGTCGTGCTAATCTTTTCAGAATTAAGTCTGATGAATAATGTAGTTACACCACATTATATTCTGTGTAGCGCTAAACATGAAACGTTTATTTTGAACAGCATGTGGATATAGTGAGTGTATTATCTCTGAAGGTGACCACAGTAATTCATTTGTCTTTCATAAGGAATATATTCCAAAGCCCTTCCAAATTCACAAGTATGTGAATGCCAGTATCAAATAGACCAGTTAGAAAACCTTTCCCCCAAGAAAGCATGCCTTTCCTCCAGCCTTTTCTCCGTGCTGGCAGCATACAGGAGAACTGCTGACTGTGCGCCTTTGCGTAAGCTCTGGGTCCCCTGGATCGGGGCGGCAAGCAGGCTTGATCGCAGAGCTGTCATTCTGACCTGACTGCTTGTGGCTGCCTCTTCGGGAAATATCCTCCTTGGATATGTGTTCATAAAAGCATTTTCCTCCAAATGTAGCAGATTTTGGTTGCATCCACACTTTTCAAGCCTGTAATCTTCGCTTTTGTTGACTTCTTCAGTTTAAGAAGAAACAACTAATCTGCTCTCTCTCTTTTCTTTATTTTGCTATTTGCATTTTATGTAAGAAAAAAACTATTTTCGAAAATTACTGAACAACAGGTACTTTCTAGGAAAGACAAATGCAGTTCTTCAATGACTGTCTTAGCTTTTGCTTCACATAAACACACACACCAAAAGTTCAGATACAGTCGCAGCTTTTCATCTTTTCTTACAAGTTTTGAAACCAGGGCATATTTCTTCACCAGTTCACACCTTTCACAACTCGGACACTTCCTCGTTTGGCAGCACGCCCCCTGGAAGTTCCCACATTGACCAGTAGATCTTCAGGTTGAACACTTTTCTGATTTACCCTGGGATTCTGCCTTCTGTTTAAGAACCACCACCTACATGTGCTAGCTCTTACGGTAACACACGATGGTTACTGTGTGCAGACTGTTCAAAACACCTTTTCATGTGCAAACTTCTCTGTCCTCAGAACACGGTGAGGAAGTGTGAATCCCCATATTCAGAGGAAGCGTTGCAAAGCGTGGGCATCGTGCCCAAAGTTACACAGCTGAGCCAGTGATGGGGGGAGGGTGTGAAGGGTCATCTGACCACAGAGCCGCACTCTGAACCACTCTTCTGTATTATTTGGTTGGGTGTTTGTTTTCTTTTTTTTAAAGGTTTTATCACAAAGTAACAAAGTTGTGGGGGGTTGGGTTTTTCTGGTCATTTCATGGGGTTATAAATAGCCGACTGCAAAGCCATATGGTGATGCAGATATGGGACAGTTGTCTAGACTCGCTGGTCAGCTCCTGAGAGGGCCTCCGGGACGGCAGTCCCAGCTTCACCATGCACTAGCTGTTAGCCACGGGCAGGGTTCAGAAGTCTTGTCTCTGAAAGCGGGGTAAGATAGTACCCACCTCACAATGGTGGTGAAGATTAAATAATATATCAATTCAAAAAATAATAACATGTACCTAGTACATTGTAAGCACTCAGTCAAGATTGAGCTGTTAAAAAAAAAAAAAAGATTGAGCTGTTATCCTTATTATTGCTACTTTGAATTTGGATACATTGCTTTTCTGTCACCACATTTCCATAGAATTTATCATCTCTAACCTACATTAATGTATGTATATTTTATTAAAGTGGCTTTTCATCAGGTAATTTGTTAAACTGTTAATGTTATATTTATTTTTTTTAAGTCCTGAGAGTGAAGCCATGTGTTCTCTGTGTGTGATGAGGCTGGCTTTGTTAATGCAGAACTACTTCAGACTGTTCTCCGAATTACTGTTCACTCAGATCACAAGGTTTACATGTGGCACAAACGTAGCGAGCTGCCCATTGCGGAGCTGACAGGGCACACACGTACAGTCAACTGTGTGAGCTGGAACCCACAGATCCCCTCCATGATGGCCAGCGCCTCAGACGATGGCACCGTTAGAATATGGGGACCAGCGCCTTTTCTAGACCACCAGAATATTGAAGGTAACACCACTGCCCAGCTCCCGTCTCCTCTCCAGGTCAAACGGCCCTGCTTATTAGAAAGCTGCAGCAGTTGAAAGTGTGGGATATCATTTATCTTCTCCCTTTTATAGAGATTGTGCACGCACTCCTCATTTGGAGTTCAAGTGCTCTAACATACAGTGTTGTTTTTGTGGTTTCTTTGGTGGCAGAGGGAGAATAAGCTAGCACATGCCACCTCATTTACAACCAGTTAGCTAGTTAGTGGTGTCACTTTACAATCTTAGAGAAATCTTGAAGCATTTTATACTTAAACTCATGAGAACGAACTAGTACACAAAATGTGAGCAACTTTAGAATGATCTTGATTATGGATTTTACCCTTAAAAATAAACATCTGTTAACAGCATGTAGCGTACTAGCATGAGATGTATGCATGATGGATAGAGAAAGGGAAGGGAGCTACTGAAATGTCATGTACCTGTGTGCCAGGCAGCATGCTAGGCTTGTGTATGTATCCCCCATAAACCTTCACGGCCCTAAAAGGGAAGTGTGCTCACCCTCATTGCTGTGGGGAGAAAACTGCTGAGGCTGCAGGTCTTGCACATCCAGGCCTGAAAGGTGGTCCCCCTGCTTCAAAGACTTGGAGGTGAAGAAAGAGCTTAACTGAGCCCAGATAGCAGCACTAGAGAGAAGAGGTAATGAGAAACTCTATGTAAATGACATACCCTTCTTTTTTCAAACGGAGCAAGTAAAATGTGTAGTTTGCTTAGAAGGAACTAATTTACCTAGAAACAGATTGTTTTGTTCATAGTGTGTCCCACTGAAGTGTTTTAGTAAGAAAGATGACCAGCTGCTCTCAGTTAAGTTATTCTCACCAGAGGACGGTTGTCAGGACAGCATTTGTGGTTTGAAAAAGCCTCTTCTCCATGCTTTTATTTTGTTGATCTTTGTGCTACAAACTATAAAAGCCTTGGCCAGATCTTACTGGCAGGTGAGGATGTATGGCCAGAGATGAGGGGGAAACATGAAGAGCATGTGGGTCACAAAGTTTTGAGAACTCCTTCCCGGTTGTTCAGACCGTGAAGGGCCTTTCTGTATTTGTAGATCACTACGTGACTTTCTAACATTCCTTACGGGAAATCACCTAAGACCAAAAAACTTAACCCCCTTTTGTTGTCCTATTTAGATGTCAAGACCCACTCTCTCAGATGTTTTATAAATCTATAACTATAATTATATGTGCTTTTCTAACTTTATCAGTCATTTAAAAGCTTTCTTTAAATAAGCATATTTGATTTAAAGAAGTAGGAAAATAGGTTTATCGTAAGAGATTTATTGTAAGTGGGTTTGTTTTAGAGCTGCCTTGAGGGTATGTGTACTGCAGTGGGATCGAGTTCGCTGCTCTTTGGTGGGTGTGATTACTGTGGATACTCATTGCAGTGTGTAAGCCAGGTGTTAGCTCAGCTGTAGGGTCGGGGTCTAATTCAGCAACTGTCCATTGTATTTGGGTACATAGGTATAGCCCCCAAAAGATTTTCACTTATACCTAAAATAGGAAAAAACTTTTATAATTAGAAATTTGGTTATATGCCTTTGATACAGATATCTTCTGGGTTCTTATTCCCCTGCTTGAAAACGTGTTTTTGTGTGGGTTTTTTCTAATTAAAGTAATACCTGTTTGGAATAGAAATTTTGAAAAACATAGATGAAACTAAAGAAGTTGCCATTGAAAAATCATAACATCCCAAGATATGCTATATATGTCATTTAAATAAAAATTTGTCACTTAATTCCATTTCAAAATAGAGAATTTGTTAACCTTTTATTATAATAGTAGAGTTTCATACTGTGTGCGTGTTTTTTTTTGTTTGTTTGTTTTATTTTGAGGAATATATAAAACGGAATAGTCTCAAATACTAACATATGCTACACTTGGATGAACCTTGAAAACAGTATGCTAAGTGAAAGAAGCCAGACACAAAATAGCACATATTGTGATTCCATTTACATGAAATGGGCCTGAATGGGCAAATCCATAGACAGAAAGTAAACTAGTGGTTGCTGAGGATTGGGGGTGGGTGTTTGTATATGCTAATGGTGATACAAATGTTCTGAAATTGATTGTGGTGACGGTTTAACAATCCTATGAATATACTAAAAACTACTGAATTGTACACTTTAAATTAGTACATTGTATAGCATGTGAATTATATCAGTAAAGCTGTTGATACATTACCCCCCCCCCCAAAAAAATAGGGTGATTTTGCAGAATTTCAAACTGAGCTACTAAAAGGAGAATTAAGTATATAGTTATAATGCACAGTTCTGCCTTGGACTGCCATATATGTCTTACTGTTATAAACTGTCATAAAGATTTTCCTATTGTGCATAACTATTTCAAGGTTCATTTTAAAAGTAAAAGATTCCAATATGATTATTCACTTGAGTACTGCACTATTCAAAGTGATCATGAGTTTAGCTCGAATGTATAGTCTGACATGATGCAGGCACATCGTTTTAGTGATGATGGTGAAAGTACTAAGAGTTTGCCTTTATGTGTTTGGTTTTTTTAATATCATGGTGTTGATTTTAAAACTTTCTAACTGGCGACTTTTTTCTCCCCCTCCCCTCTTCTTCCTCTCACCGCCCTCCCCATATACTCCTGTCTTGTCTTCAGAGGAATGCAGTAGCATGGATAGTTGATGGCGAATTTGGAGCAGACGACTTCTGTTAACTTAAATTAGTCGTATTTTAATGGCTTGGGATTTGGTGCAAACAAACATGATTGATAGCTGGACAGACATGCTCGTCATGAAAAAAAGAACCATTTCTGAAGCCCGATTGGGGCCAAACACTTACACCTTGCTTCATAGTAACCGGTTGAGATGAAGCGCGTCGTTAGAACGTTGTTGGACACCATGTTGAATTCTCCCCCATCGGTTGTGAAGAACTGTGCTACATTCAGGCTTACCCATTGAACTCAGTATATATATTTTCCCCCCCTGCCTTTTGTCTGGGGGGATACCATTCTTGTTGCTCTTCTGTGTAATGAAGTTTAAAATGCTTGTTTGGAAACTTTATTTAACAGTTTAGAAGGCTTGATAGAAAGAGTGCATTAGTCTGAAGAGTATACATTGGATAGGAAAGAATTTCCTCCTTTTGTTTCTCCAAATCTTTCCGCCTTATTTAGCTTGAGATCTTTGCAGCTTGGTTCATGGATTCTAGCCTTGCCCGTTGCACAGTATATACAGATCCAGATGATAAACCAGTGAACTATGTCAAAAGCACTCTCAATACTACATTTGACAAAAAGTTTTGTACTTTTCACATAGCTTGTTGCCCCGTAAAAGGGTTAACAGCACAATTTTTTTAAAAATAAATTAAGAAGTATTTATAGGATCAAAGTGACTTCCTTTGTATACATTTGGAATCTAAACCAGCTTAAAAACAGTTTCCTCTGACTCAGATGCGCAGTGCAACTGACGCAAAGCAGTGGGAAGGACGTTACACAGGACATTCAGAGTAATAATGCGAAGGTTTGCCCCCTTTTGTTTTATTCCTGAAGTACATCAGTACCTGATCTTGAAGAAATTCAAGATTTAAAAAGAATGTTAAATACAATCAACATGAGAGATCAGTAGTCAGCGTAGGCTTTCGGCAGTGCTTGTTCCCAGCTGGTCTCAGCTTGGGAAATGGTTTGGTGTGATCTAGCGAGAGAGCAGACGCCAGCAGATAATAACTACTTCGGAAGTTTCTAGTAGAACAGCTCGTTAGAAGAATTCAGCGGGTTACAGACATATTTAACCTGGGGTTAAAACCTCATAGTCATTTCTCTTAATTGCCCTTAATATTTTGACATGTAGGGATACATCCATTTAAAGAATCTTCCTTGTCAGTTTTTCAGATATTGCCATACTGAACCTCATTCTAAACTGGTGCTGTGGGTAGTCTTTCCCCCTCCCCTCCCCTTTTAGTGAAAGGAAAGGTTTCCTTCATGGAAAAGCACTTTTAATTTTGAGAATTTCACAGTTCAAATAAGCCAAAAGCCTGGTGTTCACATTGTGCTTTTAAGTTCGTAACAGCTGAATGCAACATCCTTAGACTCCTTTGAAATTCCCTCCCTTTTTCAGAAGATAAATACAGTGACCACAGCTGTTACACTGGGAAGAGGAGTGGGAATGCATGCCCCCAAAATAAGATTCTGGTGAAGAAAATCTTGAACTAAGTTCCCCATTTGGCCCAGCCAAGTCTCTATTATTACCATGAGTAGACTCTAGGATCCACGAAGAAGGGAAAAACTTGGATATCAGAAGTTCTTCCATTGGGGCTGAGGGGTTGGGGATGGCAGCAGAGAGACGGGAAAGTCGGGGAAGGGGAGAAGAAAGAAAAACACAATTGGCCTTAAAATAGCACGGATTCTCCCAACAGCTCTCCTAGTCAGAGAAAATGACAAATCGTGGTCAGCAGATTATTTTATCAAATTGGTATGTAAAAGATTTCTTTAAGCTCCATTTTGCAGAGATCATTACTTAGAATCAAGAATTCCTGTTTTGATACTTCTGAGTTAAGATACTATATGTTACAGTTTATCTGGTACTTCATTTTTCTTAACTACAATTACTTTTTACTTTAAGCTTGAATAAAAAATCTTCATTGGTAACTGTATATAATTAAGTGGCAACTTCTCTTTACCTCAGTACAGTTAAATCCATATTTTAAGTGATTCATGTATTTACCCTGAAGCCGTTAATACACCCCAGTCTACAGTAACATCACTCACAGAAAGTGGGCCTAGACACTCCACAGCTGTTTACAAACATGGTTACGGCGTGTCCGGGAACATGGTAACGCTCGCTGAAATGTGTGCCCCTTCCGGGCAGTTAGGCGCTCGGCTTCTGCTCTCCTCCACCCAGCCACCCCCAGGCCTGCGTTTTCAGGGTGCTGCTCAAGTCCAGTGGCAAACACTTTGAAACAGTGGAGGAGCGTGAGGCACCTCTCGCAATGACATAGCTCCCTTAAAACGGAGTCACAGCTATGCAAAGGTTTCTGCAGCAGCTAGCTAGGTGAGTGTGTTTCCCAGGTATGTCTGAACTGGCCCCTTTCTACATACACTGGTACTTTGCTGTGCCAATTTGCTGTAAATGTCTGTCCCCTGCATTTGCCATGCTGTGAGTGTGCTAGAAAGGTGAAATAAATAAGAAGAAACCCAGGGACTCAGGGTACAAAGACCCCAAGAGCAGGATGGCCTACCCCTAGATGTAACTGAAAACCGTAGTGTGGCATAGGGTGAAGAGTGAGAATATATGGGAGAAAACTATCAAACCAGCCGCAAGATACTAACAAATGTATAAACTGAAAAGTACCAATACTTTTTGCACATAGATCAAAATAGAGTGGAGAATTTTGGCTCCCAAAAATCAGGTTAGTAGGCTCATTTCCATGTGCTTAAAAATGTTTTTTTTTGTTGTTGTTATTCATTGATTAAGGGCTAGAGCAAGTATGGAATTCAATGTCTTTTTCCTCCAAATAATTGGTTATTAATAGTACAGTGTTGGATTTGGGGATTACTGAGACGCGTGTGGGTGGTAAAGAATTAGGAGTGGAGAATTGGGAGGGATGGCTACGCTTCAGTTTTGGTTTTTGTAGTTTAATTACTAGTGTTCATGCCAGCTACCTTTCTGTTACTCTTATTGGCCAGGTAAATGTGTTACATAAAACCAGGTAAGTAGTTTAAACAGAGGAAATTTTACTTGCAAGTGCCCCTGCAAATTGGCCTATTTTAGTGGGTGGGAGAACAGAAAGGGGTTACCTGACTTTAAATATAAACTAAGTAATTAAAATAACCTGCTAGTTGCAAAGGGGGGAAAAATCCAATTTTGTATTTTCTTAATCTGAAATCACACTAGCAGTAATCTGGCGATTTATTATTAGGAGTGTTCTCCCTCTAGAGTGGCATTCCGTGACATTAATAGAAAACCCTTCTTTCCCACCCTTCCCCATCTTGAAATTTTCTTTTTTAGGATGTTGGTTCCTGCACACAAGAACCTCTGCTCACAGTGGTAAATACATGGTACATCTCTTGAAAGGGACATATCCATGTCAGTTTCTTTCACAGCAGAAGATGGCTGCTTTTGAATGGGGAGGAAAGAAGACATTTTTCTTAATATCCTTTTGCCCCATCTCTAAAATGTATACGCATTTTGATTTGGGTTTAATGTCTCACTTAGACGTTAGCATCTCTCTTTTGGGGTTGCTCTCCAAAATAGTACTTCCAGTCAAAAACCATGTTTGACTTAATATAAACAAACTTAAAGAGAGGTGAATTTCATTTTCACATGGACACTTTCTAAAAACAGGGTGAACTTAATTGAAATTTTTCAATGTTGTTAGGCTGTTGTTATAGTAGCTGCCCTATATAGTTGCAAAAACAAAAACGATAAAAACTCATCCCCTATCTACTTAATCCAGATAGCCTGGATGTAATGGAACTCATAGTATAAAAATGTGTGTGTTGTGTGTCTGTGGAAGAGAGAGAGTATTAATTCATAAAAGGCCTGGAAACGGCTGTTCTAGGCTCCTGTCAGTTTTACTAAAAGTCTTGTGCACATGCGAATGCCCTCTGAATTGAAGGTTTGGTTAATACTGGTATATTTTTATAAGACTGATACGGCGTCCCCATCTTTGAACTTAAACATTTTCATTATCAGGGTCAATGTGCTAAAACTGAATCGTAACATTTTTAGGCACAGATGGAAAAAAAAGATGTTATTGGCTCCTTGAAAATGTGTGTGTGTGGCGAGGGGACTAGATCCACAAGAGCATGTGTGTCCTTACAAACCAAGCTGGAGAGATCAAGAAAAGAACATGTGTTGATCTCAAGATTTACATGGCATTGTGGTGGAACTATTAACATTAGAGCTTTTGGTATGTAATAACTACTTGCTACGGACTGATTAAATGTTTCAAAGGATTGTGTTCTTAAATTTGGGGGGGTATTGTTTTTTGTTGGTTTGTGTGTGTTTTTTTAACTGCCTCTCAAATTATATTTAGTACTTTAAATTTCTTTGCTTTATTATTTCATTAAAGCATAAAAAACTTCAGGTCTCTGATATTTATTTTCACTTGTCCCACTAATTATTTACGAAACACCCTTTGTTAAACGTTTATAAATGTGTAGTATATTAAATGTCTTTAAAATTTTGTTCAATTGAAGCTACATTAACTTTGATTTGTGTTACTGGTTTGTTTTTTTTAATACACCTTTCCATGTCAGTGCGTAGCACTTAACCAATCGTTTGTATTCCCTTTCAATCCAATAAACAGAATGAGTAAGTAATTGTTGCTGTGTTAAATCTCATAATATGCATTGATGTTTTAGTACTGTTTTTACCTGAAACAACCAATTTGCTGAATTTGACTTTTTAAGTTGATGTCTAAGGAAGCACTGTTTTATCTGTTGGGATATCTTTTTAAAGAACTATTGTGTGGCATCATGGATTAACTTAGAAAAATTTACATTTTAAAGGAGTCACATATCCCACTTGTTCAAAAATATTACTGATTTGAAATTATGCACTTAGGCATCGAATACATTGATTAGTAGAGAAAATATACTTCTAGTTGGAAATTAAAATTTATGTCATCATAATTGTATTAGTTCTTTAAAGATCTTCTTGGAGGAAAGCATTCATTGTATATAAACCTGTAGCACATTTGTATTTATGGGGGGAAAAGAAAACCAATTGCCCCATCTGGGTGAATTATTACAGAAGTGGGCTTTAAGATTTTTACTAAGGGTGGAGCTCTGTTCAGTAAAAGGAAGCTCAAACATGGAAAATTAGTATTTGGCAGGCAAATGCTGGCCGTCAGCTTAGAGTAGCAGAGCCACTCAGAGGCCAAGAGGCACTGCTTTGAGCCAGGGTTGCGGCTCCCTCTGGTCACCAGGCAAGAGAACAAAGGAGTTTTCCTACTGGTTTTCCTCAAATACGGCTGTGCATTGCAGAGGGAGCTGACTCGGATTGTTCTTCTGCGTTTCAAACTTCATGCCAGAATCCAGCACCAGGAATTGAGACCTCCTGACCTTAAATCTAAGAGTAGAGAGTGGTATTTTAAAACAATTCCCTTCCACTTAAGAAAAGTTGATGGTCTTTGGTTACATCATTTAATGACTTCTTGAAATTTTTTCTAGAAAGAAGATTCAACAAACAGTATGACCCCATCATCCTAATACTACCTCCAAGCATCTTAAGTGTCACCATTGACTTTGTGGCAGTGAGCTCTTCAGACTTTATTGGTGTACTTAACATGAGTTTACTAGGTACGAAACAGTATTCTAATCACATAATTAACAAAATATTCAAGCAGCATGTAATTAATTATAGCTACCGCAGGAAATGGGGAAGGATGAGTTTCAGTCAAGTTTTCAATTCCAGAATGTGAGGGCGATCTGGCTGCAACCTCTGTCACCCCATTGATCGCCAGGGTTGATTCGGCTGATCTGGCTGGCTAGGCCGGTGTCCCCCTCCTCCCTCACCGATCCATGTGCGTCCCTCCCGAAGCTGCGCGCTCGGTCGAAGAGGACGACCTCCCCCCCTCCCCCAGGAGAGGACCGGTCTTGGTCAAGGGTATACGAGTAGCTGCGCTCCCCTGCCAGAATCGCCAAACAAGCTCTCAAGTTTTCAATTCCATTTTGTCTTTTTTAATATATTTTTTTATTGATTTCAGAGAGGAAGGGAGAGACAGAAACATCAATAATGAGAATCATTCATTAGCTGCCTCCTGCACGCCCCACACTGGGAATGGAGCCCACAACTTAGGTATGTGCCCTGACCAGGAATTGAACCGTGACCTCCTGGCTCATAGGCCCACACTCAACCACTGAGCCACGCCGGCCGGGCTCACTCAATTCCGTTTTGGAATGAGGATTGGTGGCTTCTTTGGTCATATTGATGCAAGGGGATCCCTCATATACATTTCAAAACTTTTTTCTTTTATAGCCTCAGGAAAAAGAGCTTACTTAAGACAAAGACATAGTCATGGTGATTGACCATATCCACAATTCAAATTAATGAATGTGCTAAATGTTTTTCATTTAACTTGGAGATTTTTAAGCCACCTTACACCCCAAGTAATTTTATGTTGTCAATTGGCACCGATCCACTCGTAGGCAGTTTTGGGGAACCACAGGACCACCATATTACTGCAGCAATGAGAACAAGAATTAGAAGCAGGACCAAGTAGTGTACTGAGAGGGACTAACCCCAAAGCTGCACACCCATTTGGTCATTGAGGATCATTCACCCGGGACAGGTATTCATTTGGGCTGATGTATTGGATGCTTACAGTGGGCCAGTCACGATGGGTCAGCCACTTAATATGCATTCTCACTTAGTTCTCAAAGTAACTACAAGCAATTTCCATTCTACAAAGGAGGGAAATAGGCTAAAATAAACCAATAGGTATAAAGGAGTTGGGCCTCAGCGAGGTGCCTCTGAGCTCCTTTGTAAGCACTACACCATACAAACCCCCCCAGTCTACAGACGGCCACTTGCCTGGGAATAAAGCTGACGGTTAAAACATGTCAGCCCGTCAGCCCTGCCCGCATGGCTCAGTGGTTGAGCATCGACCTATGAACCAGGTCACAGTTCGCTTCCAGGTCAGGGCACATGCCCGGGTTGTGGGCTCCATCCCCAGTAGGGGGTGTGCAGGAGGCAGCTGATCAGCAATTCTCTCTCATTGATGTTTCTATCTCTCCCTCTCCCTTCCTCTCTGAAATCAATAAAAATTTTTTAAAAAAGTCGGTGCTTTTCCCCCTTTACATCATTTATAGAGAAGCACCTGGAAAATGGGAAAAAAAACTAGAGTTATCCCCCTTTCCCGGCTTTGCTGCAGACAAGCAATATAAGAACAGTGGTTTTGTTTGTTTTTAAGCTCAGTTCATGTCCCAGAAGAGCTGTCCTTTGTCATAAGTGCCGCCTGACAACCTGTACACGGACAGCCAGACTCACAACTGCGTGGGTTTGATGTGGGTTACTGAGAAAACTTGAAACAGAAGATAAAACATTTCGGTCCACGGTCCTCCACCACCTTCCAGCTACTCGATGGAAGCTGTTGGCGTCTCGGTTCTAAGGATCTCAATTCTCCAGCAGCTCCCGTTGCTGTAATAGCCTGAGTAGAACGTGAAGAGACCCCGGAAGTTAGGGAGAAAGGCCGAGTGAGGAGACTGAAAAGGTGCCTCAGAAGGAAAAGGTTCAAGAGAGATGCAAGCAAAGTAACTTCTATGTTACAGGTTCTTGGCCCTTTACCGGAAGAAATACAGGATAACCACAGGGAGCAGGTTCTGAGACCCCCCCCCCTTCCCCAAGGCCAACAGAACCAGGTTCCCGTGCCTGCTGTCTCACTGCTCCTTCCCAGTGTGGCCGGGCCACCACGTCCACCCTGGAAACGTGGGCCTATCTGCACTGAGTTTTTTGCTGGCTCCCTGGCTTCTGCCAAAGCTAAACCTAGTCCAGGGTCGGAAGGACATGAAACGTTTGATCCTTTGGTGACCACACGCCTTGTTTAGCCACCCAGTACTGCCTCAACAGCGGGAATCATCCCTTTGGCCTCTGCCATAAAACATACCACGTTCTGCCTAAATGCCAATACTTAGGATTAAAGCACAAACGAGGACTGAGGATTAACTTCCAGGTTCACTTGCCCCAGCACAGAGCCGAAGAGGTTAACTGCTCTCCCCAGGGGCAAGATTTACCCGTGTAGCTCCAAGGAACCGTTTGCTTGGACGCTGCCGTGTCTGAAACGGCTGGTCCTGCAGCTCCCACTGCGAGTGGCCAGTGCAGCAGGACAGCATCCAGGTAACCTGGCACCGTGCAGAGCGCTGACACCGAATGACTGGCTATTCCTGCCTCTAACCCAGCCGTGGGCAAACTACGGCCCACAGGCCGGATCCGGCCCCTTTGAAATGAATCAAACTAAAAAAAAACAAAGACCGTACCCTTTTATGTAATGATGTTTACTTTGAATTTATATTAGTTCACACAAACACTCCATCCATGCTTTTGTTCCGGCCCTCCGGTCCAGTTTAAGAACCCACTGTGGCCCTCGAGTCAAAATGTTTGCCCACCCCTGCTCTAACCTGAGGAGCATCTACCAAATCCCCTCTCCAAGCCCACAGAAAGATGGCTGGGAGAGACCATGTGCAAATGGGTCAGGTAGCACACAAGCACGAGAGCTGGCCACAGCCAGTGGGACTGCGCGGGTCTGAGGGTGACTGTGGAGGCAGCGGCTCTTCCATGAAATCTCTCGGTTAATTTTTCCCCTCCCC